GCGGAGCGCGGACCCCGCCGCTCCTCAGAGGCCCTCAGGGGTTAAATGGCGCCGTCAATCCGGTGACCAAACCCCAGGGAATAAACGCATCGAGTTCTGGCTCTCGGTCCCAGCGAGGGGAACAGCGAAACCCGTTTGGCTGTTGGGAATCCGGAGCTTTTCTCCTCCTCCCGCGAAAGGCGCCCTGGGCTGGCCGAGGGGTCCGTCCAGCCGCAGGGGTGGCTCTGCCTCCGGTGACACTTCTCGGCCACGGCGTGCTCATCCGCCCTCCCAGGGCTCCCACCGCCTCGGGTTAGCTGCTTCCCTCCTTTGGAAGTGTGTAGATGGGGTGTCTGTCCTGGATGCCTTGTCCGCACGCACACCTTCATCTGCGCTTGGGAGCCCAGAAGTGGTTCAGGCATTAGTAGGCACCGAAGAATCCATGTCAAAACTTGAGACAAAAAACCCCATCAGAAATCCTGCATTTAAGCAGTTGTGCTGTTCACAGAATTCCTATGGATTTTGATATAGCTTAAATGCAAATGCCTAGTTTGGTGGGGGATTTGCTTTGACAGCTCAGAAGCCTAAGCAACAAATTTATGTTGGGTTAAGACTTGTTTGCTGCTTGATTTCAGGAAGCACTTACTTAGGAAGCTCGTGGGGATAAATTGCATGAAGCAACAAAAAGAATTTTAAAAGTTCTATCGATGCTGAAAAGAGATAGTTTATCTTAGTCTGTAGTATTGTGCAGTAGGGGTCAAGACTTGTATTTCTGGAAAGTAGCAGATAGTGAAAAAAAATTAACTAGGAAAGTAGCTAATAGCAAGATCTTTGTCTCCTCTGTTTTCTAAAGCTTGTAATCTCTTAGTGTAGCAATGGTTTAAGAAAAAAAGACAATTTTAAGGACTGAATTCTCAGTTCCTTTATTTCCAGCAAAAGGCATTCTGAACAGCAGAAACTCTATTCAGTCCTTAGAGCTGATCAAGCTCAACTTAGAGTTGGTTTGGATGTTATGGTCTTTTAAAGGCAGGTCTTTAAAATGTTGCAACAGCAAATGGCGTGTGTGTGACAAAACAAGTACGATCAGTAACACATCTAGAGGTGTTCCAATGTCTCAGTCTGCCTTGTAAGCTCAGGCCATACAAAATTCTTCAAAGTCATTCATACCCATAAGTAAATGCCCAGGCAACTTATTATAGTTTCTCAAAGTATTTGCCAAAATATATTTTTTTTAAGAACCACCTGTTGCCACCTCCCTTTTTTTTTCTTTTTTTTTTTTGTTTTTTTTTTTTTGTTTGTTAAGCAAGTGGGTAGTTGATGTAATGCCCGTTCATTTTGCTCTGAAAACCTCAAACAGCTATTTCTTGACTTCAACTTTACTTTGAAAAGGACTTAAATTATCTTGGGTGAGATTTACACCGGCTACTCCATTTCTCAACAACAAGAAGACATAGATCCTGTTTGATTTTGGTACACTTGACTAGGTCATTGCCTGCTTTGGTAACACAGTGTAACTTACGGTGCTGTCAAAAAGTGTCCGGCTGTCTTGGTTATCAGTTACCTTCATCAGAGAAGTTGTCGTCTTTGAAAATGCAGGTTCTTATTTTGCATTGAAACGTATGCAATTTTCTCTTCACGTTAGGCTGTTTCAGCAGTCTCTAGTTGCAATGACAAAATGATTCGCTTTTGACTCTGAGTTAAGGTTCAATCTAATAGTTGTAGTTTGAGCTGGGGCAAAAGTGAGGGGTGTTCCCAAGTGAGCGCTAACAAAGCTCAGGTTTGGGTTTGGTTTGGTTTGGTTTTGTACCAGCTTTTGTAAGTGACAATAATGGCCTTCTTGCCTGATATTTGGACAACTAAGCTTTTGCTAACAGAATTTTTACACGTTTTCAGGAATTAAACAGAAAACTGCTGACTCAACATCAATAAGAAACTATCAAATATGTTGAAAATACTAAGACAGCACCCTTTACCCTAAAGAGTAAAGGATGAAAACTGTCTTCAAGAAAAAGGAAAAAGCCTTTCTGTTTGACTTTCAGCGCTGAACAGATTGAGTTTTGAGCATTCTGTTGAGCTTTGTAGTTGTAGAAACTAAAAAGTATATTACTCTGACCCATGAGGAACTGTGGTCTCCCAAGTTCTTTGAACTTCAAGATGAAGAACCTTTCAGTAATAATTTCACACACGTATACGTGATTCTCTTTTAGATGTGTCAATAAGCACTCTATTGGATATTGAATAGACTGCATCTGAAATAATTAGCAGACTTTAACAGCAATCTTTTTTTTCTTTTTCAGCTTTCAAGTAAAGTTTATTGAAGGCAACAATGGAACGATTTGGAGTGAAGTCCGCTCCATCACGTAACCGCTCGAAGACTGCTTTGTATGTAACGCCTCAGGATCGTGTAACTGAGTTTGGCAGTGAGCTGCACGAAGATGGAGGAAAACTCTTCTGTACGTCCTGCAATGTGGTTCTGAATCACGTTCGCAAGTCTGCAATCAATGACCACCTCAAGTCTAAAACACACACAAAGCGAAAGGCAGAGTTTGAAGAACAGAACATCAGGAAGAAGCAAAGGACTCTGACTGCCTCACTTCAGTGCAACAGTACTGCCCAGACAGAGAAAACCAGCGTCATCCAGGACTTTGTGAAAATGTGCCTGGAAGCTAATATTCCACTTGAGAAGGCTGATCACCCATCTGTGCGAGCCTTCCTGTCCCGCTACGTCAAGAACGGCAGTTCGATACCTAAGTCAGACCAGCTAAGGAAAGCATACCTGCCTGATGGGTATGACAATGAGAACCAACTCATCAATACTGAAGACCGTTGAGAAGAAAACTGTTTTCATCATCATTGTGAAGTTTTACATATTGATGGTGTGGTTTATTTTTATATTCATGCATATATACAGTGTTAACATATTGGTTTTACAAGCTATTTTGTATTATTGTAGAAATGACAATCTATTTGTGAACTTAGTGGTATGCCACGGACTGTTGCTAACCCTGCTGTAGACTTCAGAGCTACATTGGTGTAGAACTCACGATG